GACTTGGGCGTGGGCTCCACACACACACACACACACACACACACACACACACAAATAAAATTACCCAGAGCACCTTAGTAACCGCAGATTGGAAAAGCACCAGCGATACCCTAGCATTGTGGTGGCACGTTTTATATGTAAAAACAACACTTACGTTTCATTTTCTAAGTTATCTTGCTTGAGGCCGACACCAAGTAAATATTGCCTGAGATGTTTTGCTGACAACAACACAGATGACATGGCGTATCAGATTTTTCGGATATAAATCATAAATCCTAAATTCATAAATTACTGTTTTGTTCAACAAAAGTTGTGGGATTTCTGTGTCACAGTGATTGTATATTAACCTTCTGTCACGACTGTCACACCACGTTATGTTTAAATGAGAACTGGCAATGTAACAACCAGTCCTAATAGGGATGTGCGATATGCATAGTCTACGATAATATTGTAATTGTTGTTTTAACGATGTGGTATGTCAGTTATTTTGCAAAAAAACAAACGCATTGAGAGTCCAAACATTCACTATCAGCGCAAATGTGATACAGATTTTATACATTTAAGTAATAGCATAATTTAAAAAAATTTTTTTATACCAGTTATATTATTACATAACAGTTCAATAAACATGTACAGAGCACCTTAGTAACCGCAGATTGGAAAAGCACCAGCGATACCCTAGCATTGTGGTGGCACGTTTTATATGTAAAAACAACACTTACGTTTCATTTTCTAAGTTATCTTGCTTGAGGCCGACACCAAGTAAATATTGCCTGAGATGTTTTGCTGACAACAACACAGATGACATGGCGTATCAGATTTTTCGGATATAAATCATAAATCCTAAATTCATAAATTACTGTTTTGTTCAACAAAAGTTGTGGGATTTCTGTGTCACAGTGATTGTATATTAACCTTCTGTCACGACTGTCACACCACGTTATGTTTAAATGAGAACTGGCAATGTAACAACCAGTCCTAATAGGGATGTGCGATATGCATAGTCTACGATAATATTGTAATTGTTGTTTTAACGATGTGGTATGTCAGTTATTTTGCAAAAAAACAAACGCATTGAGAGTCCAAACATTCACTATCAGCGCAAATGTGATACAGATTTTATACATTTAAGTAATAGCATAATTTAAAAAAATTTTTTTATACCAGTTATATTATTACATAACAGTTCAATAAACATGTAGTTAATATTGTGTTAAATTTTAGACTTTTTTTTTTGTTGCAATATTTCGTCAACAAAAATAGTTTCAAACAAAGCCAAGCAACAAACAGAAGTGTTTCTTTCCTGAATAATCCCTTGTTTTTTAAAGAATCAATATTTTTGTGATCTATTCATAAAGATAAGTCACTTGATTTGTTCCTGAATGAATCAGCTGTTCGAATGAAGCAAGTGAATGAATGATTCTACGACTCACTCATTAAGACAATGGCTTGCAGCCACCTACTGGCGGTTTTAGATTCACGCTTAAAGTATCCTTTAATTTAAAAAAGATTATTATTTCAATATATTTTTTTCATATATTTTTAAATATTAATCCCAAAGCATTATTTATGCAATTGTAAGTGCAGTGTAAATACCTCTAAATGCCACTTAAGATGCAGCTTTTGCACCACTTTAGCACTGCAAAAATGTATTTAGTTGATAATAATTTAATTTTATTAGTACCAGCCTATAGTGTCTTACTATTCAAACTTAATTTATTGACTAAATGTAAGAATTTGACAAAAGATGATGCATACATAGGCTAGGCTAGAAAAAGCATCATAAAAGTAAAAAAGCTCCTGGAGGTGGCAAATGTCACCCCTTAAGCAAAAGTAAATTTATGTTGATTTTGTCAAATGATCAAACAAAATTCCAGAAAATTTTGATATTTCATTTTTTGTCAATATCACACACCCCCAAGTCCCACTTGCATCTTTTTCTCACCTGCTTGATCAGCATGTAGGTCTCGGACATGATCTTCTCGATGCGCCGCAGGTCATAGGTCATGCCCTTCTGACCTTGCTGCCACACCCTGTACGCATCCAAAAGCAGCGTCTTGCCCGACTCCACGTCATCCAACAGTTTCCTCTTCCTGCTGGGTCTCTGCTGTAGTGCCACCTCAGGGGTACTGGCTAGAGGTGTGGGGTTGCTGGCTGTTGGCGTTGTGACCATACTAAGTGCTCCTTTAGCTGCGTTCACCTGATTCTGTAGCTGCTGCTGTTTTGAGCTAATGCTTAACTCCTCCAGTGACAGCTCCGACTCCCGACTGCTCTCTGGGACCTTATCGGCCTCCTCTGCCGCCGATTTAACCACCCCCTGCTCCTGTGGTCCAGTTTCAACAGGTGTTTGAGGGTCTTTGAATATTGAGGCACCTGGCCATGATCCCGGGCCAAGCTCCATAGGCTCTATAAGTCCTGAAGTACCTTCTCTGGGGTGAACGGCGCACACTGTCGCCTGATTTAAAGGCTCCAGGGAGAGCTGAAGAGTGGCTGAACATTGCTGAGGCATACCAGGAGGTCCGGTCTCACTTCCTGAGTCCTTAGGGGTGTCGGGGAGTCCTGCTTTAGGCTGGGTGGTGTGGGAGCGTTTGGGGTCTTCCACAGCAGGAGGCTGGTTGGACACATCCACAGTGGTCATTTCACCCATAGAGGTGGCAGACGGTTTAAGGGGAACACTTACCTGAGAAAGAGAATGACACATATATAAAAATGGCTAATTTTGATTCTGCTGACAGAAAACAAGACGTATGCCAATATATTATGATTAGTGCAAACTAAAGAAGCTGTGACACTAGGAGTGAGGAAGGAAAATGTGCTGCACTACTGGATCTGGTTTAATTCACAATGTAAAATGTCCACAGAAAGAAGCTCAGACACGAAGATGAGCGAAGCTATCACTCTGTTCTTCAAGCAGTTGGGATAGCATTAACTAACGTGTTAGCACAAACATAAGCGTATCCTTGGCTGTCAGATCTTAGTTCCCAAACATGGCAGTGTCTCCATAGGAAAAACATGCTACCAAGGCCACTGATCAGCTTCTATTTATATATATTTTATATATAAATATAAAACACACACACATATAAAACAAAAATAAAACTCTAAAAACAAACCAAAAATTTAAATTAAATAAAAAAATAACAAAAAAGTAAAATAAAAACCTTCTAAAACCAAAACAAGGCAAAACACAAAAACAAAGTTACATTTTAAAAAAGAGGCAAACATACACACAAACAAAAAAAAAAAGTAAAATCTTCTAAAAACCAAAACAAATAAAAAAATAAAATAAAATAAAAAACAAGAAAAACAACAATGAAAACAAAATCTTCTAAAAAAAAATATATAAAAAATAAAAAATAATATATATATATATATATATATATATATACATATATATATACACCAAACAAAAAGGAAAACAAAGGGCGGATTCCAAACAGAAGTGAACATCCTTCGAAGTGTGAAGTGTGTTCTTTGAAGGGTGCAGGGCACTACTGTCTCGTGTAATCGTTTGGAACTCCCTCGACGAAGGGAATGTCTGACCAAATGTTACCTTGACAACGCTGCGCGTGCGTGCAGCATTCAGCACTCCATCAGTTGTTGCAAATAAATATTTATTACTATTATTATTTTATTCAAATATTGTCTACTCGTGTCTTATTTACTATTAAACATTTTCAAACTAAACCTGCTTAAACTTGCTTACACTACCATTGTAAATCCTTTTTCTATCACTGACGAAAAATATTTTGTCTTACATTAAAATAGACAAATTTAATTCGCCTATTCTACTTACATTTGTGTGGGAAGTCGAAATCAACCCCAACTTTACTTTAAAAAGCATTGCAAGATCCACTAACCGAAGATCACATGATCACAAACGGAAATCACTTCTGTGAAGTGACCATCGCATGTTCCCTTCGCTAACGGACTTCTGGAAGGGCTCTTCGTGAAGGGATTCAGTTGTTCACTTTCGTTTGGAACATCCCTACAAATGGTCCGAAGTGCCCTTCAAGGGCGCAAAAAAGCCGTTTGGAATTCACACAAAAACAAAACCTTTGGAAAAAAAACAAAAAAAAAAACTAACGAGAATGTAGTTTACATACCCCTGTGAGTTTATCCAGATTGTCTTCCAGCACTTTTACAGTGAAGAAAAATGCTCGCTTGGCCAAAACTTGTCGGTCCACATCTCGCAAGTACTTCCTATAACACACAACATAAAAAGATGTGATATGTCCTTGCATTTAAATGCTTCATGCCATATGCTTCATATATAACAAAATAGGAAAACAAACATACAAAAAAATGGATGATAGCTGTATGTAATGCTATACATTTTCAAAGAATATTTAAAAAATTTCAAACAACATTCATAACAAACATGCAAGACAAGGGTAACTGAATAGTTCACAAGCATTTAGCAACACTACATTTCAAGAGGCTACTTCACTCCGTTTCCTGTTATAAATATGCACATTTAATTAAATGAACCAAACAAAATAAACAAATTAAATATTTGCAATCTCTTACTTTCCCTGATCAGGGGTTCTCTGAAGCATGAGGGAGATTTTAAGTAAAGTGTGGTGATCTTTCAGTTGAGACAGAACATCCAGCAAGAGCACGATGGATCTGTTCATATGAGATGCAAAACTCCCAGGACGATCGATCTCATCTACTGGAATACGCCAGATGCCCTGAGGGAGAGAAGGAGAGAGCCATTAGCAGAGAGAAGAGGAGTTGCTCTGCATGAACTGAGGCATCAGGACAGCTTTAAGCCCGGCGCTAGCTGTCAGATCTGGCTCCTGTCTCATTTGCCAAACAAGCCAGCATCTCCACAGGGAAAACTGATGTTACCAAGGCCACTGCTGAGCTTCTCTTTACAGCACAGTCCAAAAAATACATAAGGGCCAATTATAAACACAATTCAGTGCTTCACGAACATCTCTGATTGAGCAAAACAAACCTCCAGGCAAGTTTATTAACATTCACAAAGGTGAACATGCGGAAAGAATGAGTGGACGACTTCGGACAGCGTAGAGCTCATAGAAGGTAAAAATGAGAGCGGTGGTACAGACGAAGAGAAAATGGAGAGAAGTGGAGAGATTTTAATGTTGTAAGGCCATCTGCTCTTGGCTCTTGATGTGTTGGTCTCCGGCCATGAAGAAAATCTGCCCACTGATGAGAAATCTGCCTCAACCCACTCTCACTCTCTCTCTCTCTCTCTCTCTCTCTCTCTCGAGATTCATCTCTCAAGCCCTCTGCTTCATCTCGAGCTGTTCGTCTTTCCCTCCAGTCGTGCTGGTCTGGTGTGTGAAGTGTATCTGGCTGGAAAACAGCAGACTAAACAGAGCTATTGACAGTCAACAGAGATGGCAAACTAATGAAAATGCCAAGAGAACATACTCTATGCAGACACCTCTAGTTATGCAAGCTCGATTTCACGTGGCATAGCATTGTGAAAGAATTCATAGCACAGAATGGTGCATTCTCAGGATGACTGCATGCGTGCAAGAGCAGACATTAACATAAACCGTCTTCCTTTACCCGTTTTCTCTTTTAGATCAACTACCGTATTGTCATGGTGGCGCAACAGTTTGAAGAGAATCTTGCCGTCTTACCGGAAAATATCACATTATATCACAGTAACGCAAGAGTACACGTTAAAGCCGCAACAGTTTGAAGAGAATCTTGCCGTCTTACCGGAAAATATCACATTATATCACAGTAACGCAAGAGTACACGTTAAAGCCAATGTGAAATGATGTTTGACACATATTTTACTTGTATAATCAGAATCTTTAACAAAAAATGTTGGGCAGGGCTTGATTTTATTTTATTTTTGAGAATTTATTTAATTACCAGAACGAACTCAGAAGGTTGGAGTTGTTCAACCAAGTTCTCAGAATGTTCATGACATCGGCCAAAAAGAAAATCATTGTTTATACACTACCAGTCAAAAGTGTGGAATAATTCAGATTTTGTAATATGTTTGAAAGAAGTTTTCTATGCTCACCAAGGCTGCATTTATTCAATAAAAAAAACACATTAAAACTGTAATATTGTGAAACAGAATTACCACTTAAAAGAATGGTTTATTTTTTTCTATTTATTTTAAAATGTAATTTATTCCTGTGGTGCAACACTGAATTTTCAGCATCATTACTCCAGTCTTCAGTGCCACATGATCCTTCAGAAATAAAAAGAAAGAAAGAATGAAAGAAAGAAAGGATACATGATGCACAAGATTGATATATATATATACAGTGGGTACGGAAAGTATTCAGACCCCCTTAAATTTTTCACTCTTTGTTATATTGCAGCCATTTGCTAAAATCATTTAAGTTAATTGTTTTTCCTCATTAATGTACACACAGCACCCCATATTGACAGAAAAACACAGAATTGTTGACATTTTTGCAGATTTATTAAAAAAGAAAAACTGAAATATCACATGGTCCTAAGTATTCAGACCCCAACACTGCAACACTGAATTTTCAGCATCATTACTCCAGTCTTCAGTGCCACATGATCCTTCAGAAATAAAAAGAAAGAAAGAAAGAAAGAAAGAAAGAAAGGATACATGACGCACAAGATTGATATATATATATACAGTGGGTACGGAAAGTATTCAGACCCCCTTAAATTTTTCACTCTTTGTTATATTGCAGCCATTTGCTAAAATATCTATCGCGGTTACATGCTCACATGATGTTGCTGTGCTACATGGTCACGAAATTTTATCATTTGTACAGTGGGGCAAAAAAGTATTTAGTCAGCCACCAATTGTGCAAGTTCTCCCACTTAAAAAGATGAGAGAGGCCTGTAATTTTTATCATAGGTATACCTCAACTATGAGAGACAAAATGAGAAAAGAAAATCCAGAAAATCACATTGTAGGATTTTTAAAGAATTAATTGGTAAATTCCTCTGTAAAATAAGTATTTGGTCACCTACAAACAAGCAAGATTTCTGGCTCTCACAGACCTTTAACTTCTTCTTTAAGAGGCTCCTCTGTCCTCCACTGGTTACCTGTATTAATGGCATTTGTTTGAACTTGTTATCAGTATAAAAGATACCTGTCCACAACCTCAAACTGTCACACTCCAAACTCCACCATGGCCAAGACCAAAGAGCTGTCAAAGGACACCAGAAACAAAATTGTAGACCTGCACCAGGCTGGGAAGACTGAATCTGCAATAGGTAAGCAGCTTGGTGTGAAGAAATCAACTGTGGGATTGATTATTAGAAAATGGAAGACATATAAAACCACTGATAATCTCCCTCGATCTGGGGCTCCACGCAAGATCTCACCCCGTGGGGTCAAAATGATCACAAGAACTGTGAGCAAAAATCCCAGAACCACACGGGGGGACCTAGTGAATGACCTGCAGAGAGCTGGGACCAAAGTAACAAAGGCTACCATCAGTAACACACTGCGCCGCCAGGGACTCAAATCCTGCAGTGCCAGACGTGTCCCCCTGCTTAAGCCAGTACATGTCCAGGCCCGTCTGAAGTTTGCTAGAGAGCATTTGGATGATCCAGAAGAGGATTGGGAGAATGTCATATGGTCAGATGAAACCAAAATAGAACTTTTTGGTAAAAACTCAACTTGGAGGAGTTGTTTGGAGGAGAAAGAATGCTGAGTTGCATCCAAAGAACACCATACCTACTGTGAAGCATGGGGGTGGAAACATCATGCTTTGGGGCTGTTTTTTTGCAAAGGGACCAGGACGACTGATCCGTGTAAACGAAAGAATGAATGGGGCCATGTATCATGAGATTTTGAGTGAAAACCTCCTTCCATCAGCAAGGGCATTGAAGATGAAACATGGCTGGGTCTTTCAGCATGACAATGATCCCAAACACACCGCCCGGGCAACGAAGGAGTGGCTTCGTAAGAAGCATTTCAAGGTCCTGGAGTGGCCTAGCCAGTCTCCAGATCTCAACCCCATAGAAAATCTTTGGAGGGAGTTGAAAATCTGTGTTGCCCAGCGACAGCCCCAAAACATTACTGCTCTAGAGGAGATCTGCATGGAGGAATGGGCCAAAATACCAGCAACAGTGTGTGAAAACCTTGTGAAGACTTACAGAAAACGTTTGACCTCTGTCATTGCCAACAAAGGGTATATAACAAAGTATTGAGATGAAATTTTGTTATTGACCAAATACTTATTTTCCACCATAATTTGCAAATAAATTCTTTAAAAATCCTACAATGTGATTTTCTGGATTTTTTTTCTCATTTTGTCTCTCATAGTTGAGGTATACCTATGATGAAAATTACAGGCCTCTCTCATCTTTTTAAGTGGGAGAACTTGCACAATTGGTGGCTGACTAAATATTTTTTTTCCCCACTGTATATACACTATTTAGATTTTATTATATTGATTTATTAAATCACTTACTAAATAAATCTAGTTAAACATAATTAAAGCATGTTTCCCAGAAACATGTTCACTAAAATAACACAAGAAACAATATTTAACCACTTTCATTTATATCTATCGTCATAACAACAAACAGAAATATTTACCGATACAGCAAAAAAAAAATTTGTAAATGAAAGATTTTTTGGAGTATGTTTTACAAGAAAATACTATTTTAGTCTTTGTACTTCAAATGTTCGCTTTAATTCAATGTATTACTTAACAGATTGTAATTATTTGTGAAATTTGCTATCAATTTTTTGAGTGAAAAAAAATTGTCTTTCAGTGTACATGTATTTTAACTAAAACATTTTAACATATGAAATTCAATATATTAAAGTGACATGGAAATCTTGTGAATGTTTATGTTGGTTTGGCACACATAAATCCGATTCGCTGAAACAAGCAGTTTGAACTGATTCACAAAAATGAATCAAACTTACTAACTATAACGCTGTTTTGAATAAAAATTTTAAATAAGAGTTTCATGTTATTAATACTATTAAGACCCTCATACTCACAAATTGTGAGACAAGCCAAATAAAACTGCACTTCTTAATGCCAAATAAAAAGCACATCAAAACCATCCTGACAAAAACAAAGTGGCTTAAAATATACTATAAATATTCAACATATATCAGCCAACTTTACCTTTGAATCATAAACACCAGACTCTCACAGGCCAGCATCAGTGGCTAATGCCATAACACAAAGTTTTAGATGTGAAACAGCAGTCCATAGAGAGAAGCTGCCAAGAATGAGTCAGTGTGTGTGTGTGTGTGTGTGTGTGAGAGAGAGAGAGAGAGAGAGAAAGGCTTTTGCCCTTTCACTGCAGGCATTACCCAAAGCCCCTTCAGCAGCACACAGTAGACGGATGGATACAGGAAAAAGAAAGGAGGGAGTGTATCCTGATGGATAGATATGGGAAGGAGGCGTGTCCAGAAGGATCAGCGGATGGAATGCTATTAGACAGGTCTCTGGCACAGGACCCTCGAACCGCTGTGCTACAGTCCAAATAACACGGCTTTACGACCCGATTACACACATGAGCTCAGTCATTCCTGCACTGCAGCAACTGTTCTTCTCATCAGCATGTTTACAAGATGTGGGGTTGTCTCATAACTGTGGGGTTTGCATCAATAATACTATTATATAATTTCCAGTCAATAATTAAAGTAATGTTCATAACAAACAAAGTTTGTTTTCCAAAATAACTACAGTTGTTTTATCAATTAAAATAAAATAGATTACAAATCAAATATCATGAT